TTTTATTTTCGGCTTTTTCTGTAGTGGCTCAATGTTGAATCCATATGATGGTCATCTTTGTTGGGACAAACACATGCTGCAATGAATCTAATTATGGTATTCTTTTAATATCTTATCTTCTTTAGTAATGAATTTCAACTTTACGTGAATACCTTTTTAGTATGGGCATTGAGAGTGTGGTGGATGAGAACAATGGAAAATCATCTGGTGGTCTCCGTGATGGTATGTGCTCTGCTTGTGAAATGGCAGTTGTGTGGATGCAGAATCAGTTGAGGCAGAATCAAACTATGGACCGTATATTGGAATATGCCAATCAGGTGAAATAGATATGATACTGAATTATACATTTCACATATGAACATCTGTATTATACTGATCTTGCCTCTGGTACATCCTTACCAGCTTTGTGATCGCATGCCAAGCCCAATGGGTGAGTCGGCTGTTGACTGTGGAAAACTGTCTTCCATGCCAATTGTTTCCTTCACTATTGGTGGCAAAGTTTTTGACCTTACCCCACAAGAGGTACGAGTCTTATCTCAACTGCGAGCTACTTAGTGCACCACAGGGTTTTAAGTTGTGAGAAATAGCTGATCTGGTAGCTACTTTGATTTTCTCACTATTATTTTTTGTGATTGGCATGACAGTATCTTGCTCGATCCACCTTGAATTTACAGTTGTCTAGATCTCAATTTCCATAGGAAAAAACAGAATAACAGTTCATGATCTGTTAGGTACTTTAAGCTCAATATAAACCGTGAATCTTTTGTTTCCTACTAATCCATCACGCTGTGGCATGTGCAGTACATTCTCAAAGTGGGAGAAGGTTCTTCAGCTCAGTGCATTAGTGGCTTTGCTGCTTTGGATATTCCTCCACCTCGAGGGCCTCTTTGGTAATCTATGCTATCCAATTCTTTTGGCCTTTCAGAGCAACATTGATTCATCATTTCTTTTAAGGGTGATGTTATTTCTTTTATTTGAAAAAAAAAATGTCAATTCTATTCAGGATCTTGGGAGATATCTTCATGGGTCGCTACCATACCGTCTTTGACAGTGGCAACATGAGAGTTGGTTTTGCAGAAGCAGCATGAAGTATGTAACTCAGATTGGTTGCTCTCTTTTTAATATTTATCATTTTCCATCTTGTGTGTACCTCTCAACAATCATACTTTGGCAGATTATCAAGGGACTAGTTTAAACTCAAAATAATTATGTACTGCTGTAAATATTTTCGACTGTGCTCTTGAATCAAAATTAGAGTTTACAATCAAGAAGTAGTTTGTCCTTTAAGAGTCTGTATTTGTGTAAGTTGGTGAAGAATTAAGTTACCGTTACTTGTGACAGATTTGATTCTCATACGAAGTTGGATTTTGGTTTATGAACCAAAGAAGATAGATTCTTATATTACCATGCTTTGGAGAATTTATCTAAGATTCCGGATAATTTTTCTAACATTTTACAGTAATTCAATTACATATAAGAACATTTTACAGTAATTGATTCTTAGATGGTGTTATTACGTTATGACAAAATGTTATTACTGTTACCTTGGAGATATTATAGCTCTCTCTGAGCAACAAGAATTTTTCCCTCTAGCGACTCAAACTCGTAGCAGATTTTCCTTTTTTTGGATTTTACTCAGTCTGGAATGTCGATTGGCCGAAGGCTCAATAAATCCTTGATTCATGCGAATGTCATATATACGATTAGTGTTTGACGTATATAGAGACCACTACTTGGAAATGTTGGTTTTAACAACAATGATCGAAAGCGATTTAGTTCTAACAAGTGCTTTAATAGACCATTTCTGGGATTATTTTCGAATATGTATATGAATCTTGACCATCTAGTTTTTCTTATCACAAAGATCTTGTACCTTGCTATTAGTTTAAGCTTATTATATTTCCATTCAACTGAGTACGAGTAGAACCATTTTGAGATTTTTTTTTTTA